TTATCCTCCAGTAGGCTGGAGGAAGGAAGTGATAGGATCAAGGTTTTGTGGGAGGGAGGGAGAGCTGCCAGGACTCTCAAGAGGAAAATGAAGTTTTCAATCCGTATACTGAAAACTCGAACTTTTAAACATCTTAAAAATAATTTTGTTGAAGAGATTGTTGGAACTCCATTTCGGCACGTCCCCCCGAAAAAAAGCCCTGGATAGGATCCAAGCTAAGATAGCTTGCCATTGAACTCTACTGTTCTGAATGACACAGCTGAAATTTGCAACACATTTCTCCTTTTCACTCTGCAGCCACCCACCATCTGCTCTAGTTAAAAACATGAAGGTTCAGGATGCCATAGGAGGTCCCACTTTCATTCTGCCCTATTTGGCTCCAAAGTGAGCACAGAGACCACCACTCCTCTTTCCTCTCCGCATTCATAGTTTTCTTACAACTGTCAGCCACCTTATCACTTGGCATACAGACAGTTCTTATCTCGCCTTCCGCCATCAATATTTATATTAGTAATATTACCATTGTTTACCTTTGAAGAATATATAGTTTACAAGGACCATTAGAGTATCTTTATCTAGTCCCTCGACTGCTTGGGTGATTTTCCCATTAGTTTTGTTCTTTACGTAATCATTGATCTCATCTGCTGCTGCTGCTGCTGCTGCACAGTTCTTGAAGTTCGTTGGAACGCCTTCAGCTTCATACAAGGTCTGGACATCATTTAGAAATGTAGGCAGCAATGGCATTGATTCTTCTATGAACAAAGCATTCCCCATGTTCACCTGTGTTTTGTTATTGGGTTGGTTAAGCGTGTGGACGATTAGCTTAAATGCTCCATGGATCTCATTCTCCTCAGTGTCTGAGAGGTTGAAACCGAGTCCATTGATAATCTGATGATGGGTCTCAGCTTTAGCACCCAGAGCCAGCAGGGCAAGGGCTGTGGAGATACTCAGAGGGGAGAAGAAAATATTTTGATGAGCTGGATCTGAAGCGATGAGTTTGTACAATCTGAATGCAAAGTCACTATTTATCTGGGCTATCTTTTGATAGCGTGTTGTTTCAGTTCCCCGCCCTTCTGCTGGAGGCTGTGGCTGAGGTTTAGGTGGGTTTTGATCTCCGTTGTGCTCCTCATGATGTCCTGGGACGTGATGACAATGGACTTGAAGAAGACCAGTTAGTAGTAAGGAGAGGCAGAGGGTGAACTTCATTGGAATTGTTAATGGCTTGACAATGAGTAAATTTCAATGAACTGTCTAATGGAAAGAAATTTGAGGTTAGAAAATATCTGAAATGTTTTTCTTAGGGTTTTATTTTTTTAATTGTCGAAACATTCTAAGCATCAAGGTTTGTGCTTGAAATGCTTAGAAAAATAGACTATGTTATAAATAGTGCAAAGATTAAAGGAATAAAAGTGTTTTTCAGTAATGTTGAGGCTTATTTGCAGAGCATAACCATCTGCCTTCAGGCAGCTTCAGTGTTCTTTTTGGTCAGAAGTTGAAGCCTGATGGACACAACTTAGA